TGGACGTGATACATTCCCAAACGTTTCGCCGACACCGTCAGTAAGCCTTGCGAGTCTTAGGACCATACTACAACTCGTCAAAGTGACAAGTGACGTCGATCCTTTGGCAAAATATGGGCTAAACAGTTGTGGTATCTCTCCTTCTACCTGGGCTATTCACCTATCCTACATCCCCGTATAACGCCTACACTATCACAATTTTTTCCGTGCTTATTTAAATGTAGTGCGATGTAAGGGGCTCTAACAAAAACCCTCCAAACTCCACGCTGGCATTATCACCCCACTTGACCCTTGTGCTGGGAATGTTGATCATATTCTGCCATATTGTTACTCAGTCCTCATCCCCTAGTTATTATCAGTCTCCTTCCTGTCCCGTAAGATCCGTCTGCTATTTCACTGGTTCAAGTATTTAATTCGATCCCTGCTACCCCACCTGTGCTCCAAGAGGCGTATTTCCCACATTCTGCGTCAATTAGAATAACTTGAGGCTAAAGACCCCTAAAATTCTTATGATCAAAGATTTGTTTCATGGATCACATCCATGGTAAAACAGGCCTACTGTCTGCCAACTAGCTCTAGTCTCCACCAAGTCTATGCTATTTCTAGTACTAATACCATGTCTATGATTTGCTATGCCCTAGTCTCTTGTCTGCCAACCCACAAATGTTGTGGTTCAATATTGAACATAATCTAGGCAAGCAGTAACACAACTTGTCTCTTTGACGAGTTTGTAACATAGTGCTAAGAATGGCGAGACTCACTGACGATGCCGGCGAAACGTCTGGGAATGTACCACGTCCACGGTCCGACTCTGGAAATAATTATGCACATAATGGAATCAGGACAAGGTGAGTTTCTATCAGTCTTCCCACCATTATGACCAAGTTGCGAAAACAAGGTCAAACAACTTCTAAGTAACACAACATTTGTAATTTGGCACACATGAGACTAGGGCATAGCAAACCATAGACTTGGTATTAGGGATATAAACAGAATAGACGCGTCGGAAACTAGAATTAGTCGGCTGACAGTAGGCCTGTTTTATAATAGACGTGGTCCATGAAGCAAAAGCTTGACCAGGAGAACTATGCGGGGTCTTTTATCTCACGTTAGTCTAGCACATAGTGTGGGAAATAAAGCCTCGTTGAGCACAGGTGGGGAGGCAGGGGTCGAGTGAAATACTTGGACCAGGGAGATAGCAGACGGAGCTTACGGG